TAGATTATACTTAGTGGATGCTTATACCCAGGGGATGCTTATACCCAGAGGGTGCTTAACGGCAGAGGTTGCCTATTAAAATAGCCAATGTTATACCAGTATATAAGAAGGATTCGCTATCAAGCTTTTGCAACTTTAAGATTCCCTTCTTTCTATTTTTAATAAACTTTTGGAAAAACTTATGTGTTACTGTTTACTTGACTTCCTAAAGAAGAAAAACGTGTTTTATGGAAACTAATTTGGTTTTTGTAGAAATTATTCAACAGAATATGCCATTCTTAAAATAACTGATGAAATACAAAGAGCTATTGATGAACATGGTTATTCACTTGGAATCTTCTTGGATTTTAGTAAAGCTTTTGACACAGTAAACCACGAAATTTTAATAGAAAAGTTGAATTACTATGGAATTAGAGGATTAGCCAGTAAATGGTTAATCTCATACCTTTCTGATAGACAGCAAATAGTTAAAATAAATAACAAACTCTGACCCATCAATAATTTCCTGCAGTGTACCTCCAGGATCTGGTCTTGGTCCAATATTATTCTTGATTCTTATTTGACTTTCATTTATTTGCTGATGATGCCAACTTATTTTATAGAAACTCTAGAAAATCTACAATTTAATCTAAATAACAAGTTAGATAAGGTTTACATTTGGCTTTGTGCTAACCGGTTGTCTTTGAACATAGAAAAATTAGACTTTGTTATTTTCCATCCATTTCAGAGGTTACACTCCAACATTCAGTTAACCCTGAATACTATTCAATTGTACGGTGGCCCAGAAGGGACACCACTGTCAACAGAGTGAATATCACAAACAATAGCAATTTGTAACAAACTGAATGAGATTTGCTGCAAACAATGAGATTTGCTGCAAACATATAAATAAAGCGCTGCAAATAAAATATAAAACACGCTGCAAACAAAATATAGAACACGCTGCAAATAAAATATAAAACACGCTGCAAACAAAATATAGAACACGCTGCAAACAAAATATAGAACGCACTGCAAACAAATATAGAACGCGCTGCAAACAAAATATAAAACACACTGCAAACAAAATATAGAACGCGCTGCAAACAAAATATAGAACACGCTGCAAACAAAATATAAAACGCGCTGCAAACAAAATATAGAACGCGCTGCAAACAAAATATAGAATGTGCTGCAAACAAAATATAAAGCACACTGCAAACAAAAGCTTAAAACCGTGCACGCGCATACTAATTATATTCACATACTAATTATATTCACGAGAGGCCGTTTGCGAAGAGGTTTCGCGTTTGCTTGGCAGTACATCAGCAAAGTCTGGCTCTACTGCGACTGGTAATGAATCGATCCGTGAAAGCAATAAAAAAAGGGAAAGTAAAAAGGCTTATGCTTATCGACCACTATAAATGTCGAAATTAAAGTTGGCATTATTGCTGCCCAAACAGATGGGGTTGTAAAGGTTCGTCATGGTATTAGAGTTTATGTTATAAACATGAAGTTCATCTGCCACAAAAGGAGAGATTACCTAGAACGCAATAGAAAAACACGGGAGTTTTGATCAGACTTTTGATAAACTGTTGCTTGGGTTCTATTATACCCCGATTTCCGAGAAATCCAATGGAATCCAGGAACTAAACTGTCTAGGTAGCCCATCATATTATCCAATTACAAACAGACAATTGGTAAGGACTATAAACGATTTACTTTTTATCTGATCTCATTGGATGATGTAATGGAAAATTCAGATGAAAGTGGAAACGAATCTTCAAAATTGAACTCACTCATGCCAGTGCCCAATATTTGTTAATATGCCCTTAATCGGGTTCTTGCAAATAGCTCAAGCTCCCCGTCGGTCGTACATATATAGATCATGAAGGTGCTTCAACATCACATGCATTATCAGGTGAGATTATGCTTATTATTAAACTCATTACAGCGCAAGACTCTCCCCTTGACAAGTAAAATTTGTTTGGCGTTGGACAGTAGAATAAAGTAGGGTGCATTGCTGCTTAATGGGTTAATAAAGAGGGAAACCTCTCAGGTTTTCACCTTCGAAATTGTACATATATGATCACATTGCAAAGCATACTGCCAATCTCAGTAACTGAAAAAAATTTAAAAGAAAACCATCACAAAATAAATAGAGACTGGATATATTTAAATGATGTTTATAAAAGAAAGACTTCCTTGAAAGAGATTGTACTTGAAAGAGGGGTGGCCAATACACTAGTTTACTTACTGTACCTTGTGAGTTGGCAAATTCCTTGTACCACACTAACCCAGGTATGGTACCTAAAGGCCTTGGTTCAGGTATTTAGTATTGCTATGATTATCAATAGCACCAATTTTGATTGCGTATCAGTGTGGTACTGTCTAATATACATGTACATCTGTACAGTTATTCACTGGCAAGACCAAAATGGTAACTAACATAATTATTTTTAAGAACAATATGTATGTTAGACAACAGTATATTTAGTAAAATTACATAGAAATATGAATGGGGGGGGCTTAATAGAGAGGAGGCCGGGCTTAATAGAGAGGAGGCCGGGCTAAATAAATTTCTTCATCTCAAAAAGGGTGAACTTTTTGGAGAGGGCAGGCTAATTATGTGGAGGGGGCTGAATATACAGTAACTAAAACACAACTACTATTAAGTATATTTATTTATTTAGCTTTGCCAACTAGGGCAGGGTCACCACAACAGCATATGCCAATTACTGTGGGCCCTTTTTACCTAACCCACCCTGTCAACTTTCCATGTGGGAGGAAACCAGAGTACCCAGGGAAAACCCACAGCTTTCGGAAGAGCGTTGACTTTTACTCTTTTCACATGAGGACTGGGTTCGAGTTGCATTGAGAAAGTTCTCACTGAGGCTTGAACCTACGGCCTCAGAGGTGAAAGGCAAGTGTGCTAACCACTTGGCCACCAAAGCCCCATATGGTTGTCTAACATACACATATTTTTCTTTAAAATATGTTAGTTACCATTTTGGTCTTGCCAGTGAATAACTGTACAGATGTACATGTATATTAGACAGTACCACACTGACACAATCAAAATTGGTGCTATTGATAATCATAGCAATTCTAAATACCTGAACCAAGGCCTTTAGGTACCATACCTGGGTTAGTGTGGTACAAGGAATTTGCCAACACACGAGGTACAGTAAGTAAACAAGTGTATTGTCCACCCCTCTATCAAGTACAATCTCTTTCTGTTTCAAGGAAGTCTTTAATTTCTTTTGTAAACCTAATTTAAATATATCCAGTCTCTGGGCCATTCCGTTTAATGTACCCCCCCCCCCCTATGGACGAGTTCAATAAAATTTGAACCCCTAAGGAAAAAATTATCAAAGTGCCGACACAAACACCCCCCGCCCCAGAAATCAAGAAATTTTTGCCTTACACCTCAGAAAAAACGCAAAGATCAAAGCATGAAAAAAAAAGAAACGGCTTTTTCAACCCCCCTCAGAAATTGTCGTCCATAGGGGGGGGGGGATGTATACTAAATGGAATGTCCCTCTATTTTGTGATGGTTTTCTTTTAAATTTTTTTCAGTTACTGAGATTGGCAATATGATCTGCAATGTGATCATATATGTACAATTTTAAGGTGAAAACCTGAGAGGTTTCCCTCTTTATTAACCCATTAAGCAGCAATGCACCCTACTTTATTCTTTTACACTGTCCAACACCAAACAAATTTTACTTGTCAAGGGGAGAGTCTTGTGCTTTAATGGGTTTAATAATAAGCATAATCTCACCTGATAATGCATTTGATGTTGAAGCACCTTCATGATCTATATGTATGACCGACGGGGAGCTTAAGCTATTTGCAAGAACCCGATTAAGGGCATATTAACAAATATCGGGCACTGGCATGAGTGAGTTCAATTTTGAAGATTTGTTACCACTTTCATCTGAATTTTCCATTACATGGCCATTAATACATCATCCAGTGAGATCAGATAAAATGTAAGTCGTTTATAGTCCTTGCCAATTGTCTGTTTGTAATTGGATAATATGAATGGCTGCCTAGACAGTCTAGTTCCTGGATTCCATTGGATTTCTCGGAAATCGGGGTATAATACAGTAGAACCCAAGCAACAGTTTCATCAAAAGTCTGATCAAAACTCCCGTGTTTTTCTATTGCTTTCTGGGTAATCTCTCCTTTTGTGGCAGATGAACTTCATGTTTATAACATAAACTCTAATACCGCGACGAACTTTTACAACCCCATCGGTTTGGGCAGCAATAATGCCAACTTTAATTTCGACATTTATAGTCGACTTCTTTGGAGTGTTCCTAGTGGTCGATAAGCCTTTTTACTTTCCCTTTTTACTTTCCTTTTTTTATTGCTTTCACGGATCGATTCATTACCAGTCGCAGTAGAGCCAGACTTTGCTGATGTACTGCCAAGCAAACGCGAAACCTATTCGTGAACGGCCTCTCGTATTTCGTTTCTTACAAAGTTAGATTTGGTCAGACGCTATCTTTGATTTGGGAAACCCCGCATAATTATGCGAATATAATTAGTATGCGCGCACACGGTTTTAAGCTTTTGTTTGCAGTGTGCTTTATATTTTGTTTGCAGTGTGCTTTATATTTTGTTTGCAGTGTGCTTTATATTTTGTTTGCAGCGCGTTCTATATTTTGTTTGCAGCGCGTTCTATATTTTGTTTGCAGCATGTTCTATATTTTGTTTGCAGTGTGTTTTATATTTTGTTTGCAGCGCGTTCTATATTTTGTTTGCAGCGCGTTCTACATTTTGTTTGCAGCGCGTTCTACATTTTGCTTGCAATGTGTTTTATATTTTGTTTGCAGCGCGTTCTATATTTTGTTTGCAGCGCGTTCTATATTTTGTTTGCAGCATGTTTTATATTTTGTTTGCAGCGTGTTTTATATTTCATTTGCAGCGCTTTATTTATATGTTTGCAGCAAATCTCATTGTTTGCAGCAAATCTCATTCAGTTTGTTACAAATTTCTTTTGTTTGTGATATTCACTCTGTTGACAGTGGTGTCCCTTCTGGGCCACCGTAATGTTCCTCTTCTTCATTGATAGCATAAACAGATACTTCCTGTTGTTCACGCGAAACAACATCTAATTTTCCCTCTCCATCAAATTCACAAATCTCTGAAAAAGATACGTTACCGGCATTCAATTTTTCTTCGCCAAATTTAGCCGTTGGAACAACTCCTATATTCTCTTCATCTCTGCTAGCCAAAGAAGTCTCGTCAAAGGCAAAAATCGATTCAGTATGTGCCACTGTACGATCTGTATCATAATCTTTTATGCAGCTTGTTGTTGATGACAATGTTCCTTCTCTGGTCTCGTTAACTGGCCTCTCCTTATCTGAAGAAGAAACAATTAACATATCTTGATCTCCTTCATTTGAAAGAATGGTAATGGAACTTCTACCACGTCATCATCATTCTGTAGATTCAATGGAATCTTGAGCTTGTATTTCTGAAGATGTGCTTTCTGCTGACTTTTGCATGTTTGTAAACAGAGTTCTGATGTCTACTGAAGCAGGGGTTGAATTTCCAGGTGGTGGCAAAGAGGACTTTCTCTTTTTCTCATACCAATTACTTTTTCTCGCCTTTGTTTGCAGGATCTTAAGCTGACCTTCTAGACTCTCTTTCTCTTTGAATAGACTTCGCATTTCTCCTTGCAGCCTTTCACACAGGGCAAAATCTTTCACAGTGGAAGTTTTGTTGCAAAGTAGTTGTTTTGATGACATTTGCTTTTTTATTAAATCTATCTGGATAGATAGGGATGAGATTTTTTCATTCCGCTCGCTTGAACTGATTTTAGGTCTCTTCAGGTTATTCCGAGGTTCAACATGAACACTGCAGGATCCCAATTTTTTCTTAAAGATGTAGGTTTTGCGAGCCTCTCTTTCAGCATTTGTCTTCAATTGTGCACAAGCGTACAACAGATCTGGATCTTCCTTTGCCAGATGATAGGCTGCTTTATTGACAGCTTGATGCCAGGTGGAAAGTGTAGCATTTTCTCTGTTAATACCAAAAAAATACCAAAATGAAATGCTTAAAATCAAAAGTGAAAAGATATTGTTAAAAAACACAAAAATATATAAGTTGAAACATAAAAATAAGAGGTTGAAACATAAAAATAAGAGGTTGAAACAAAAAAATAAAAAGCTAAAACATAAAAATAGCCTTGTGGGTTTCAATAGAATACCGAAAATGTACAAACACTCACCTTTTAAAATAAACTCTGCATAAGAATTTGTCAATACAGCCTTTCGGACTGTTTTTGCTTTATTCCAAACTTTAAATAATTGGCATATTGATAATATCGTGGTTGAAAAGCAATTCTTTTATTAAAACTATCGAAAAGACGAAAAGTAAAAAACTCCCGAAGCGCTAGAGTGTACGCATATTTTAGGGACAACCGCTGAGCAAGTTGTCAAGTGGTCAAATGCCCGACAGGGCGGAATAAACTTCCATCAAATGCCTGCCTATACGGGGGTAATCGTAAGTCAAATGCCCGGGGGGAGGCTGATCGCGGTTGGATTTGACTCATACATAAGTAGTTTTCAAACCATTTAAGACCATTTCCTCTTGTACCATAATGTTCAAGTTTCTTAAAAAGAATTTTGTGGTTTACTGTATCAAAAGCCTTAGATAAATCAAGGAAAATACCGATTGTAAGTTTATCTTCATCTATAGCTTTTGATATTTTGTCAGTTAATTAATTCAATAATAGCATGTTCAGTTGACCGATTTTTTCTGAAACCATATTGATGTTTAGATAAATAAAAATATTTCCCAGGAAATATGGATTTTTATGTCACGCCTGGATTAACACGATTAGATGACATAATAGCTTTATCTTGCGCCGGTTGAAGAGGCAGGAAATTTCAGTGCCTAAAACTATGTAACAGTGCCAAGATCAAGGTCGGATTCTTGGCATATAAACGAAGATATAGCACAAGTGATTTCATAAGTGGACACAACTTGTATCAGAGCGAAACACTTGAACTTATTCTTCGACTTCTTCCTGCGTACTTTGCCAGGTTAGTATATCTTTCATTTAAAGTGACGATAAGAGTCAATTTTTATTTGTTATGGCTTTGTCTCGCCCCAAAGTTCTAGTTTTTGGTCATTCTTTTGTCAGGCGCCTGCATCGGGATTTGACGACTCAATTTGATATGCGGGCTGCCTTAAATTTTAATTTACCCGATGTCTCCATTAAACTACATGGTATTGGGGGACGGACGGTGGACAAGCTCGTGAAATACGATTTTGGATACGTTCAGAAGTTCCAACCCAACATAGTGATTTTAGAGGTTGGGACCAATGATTTGCCTTTAATGAAACCCGAAACTGTGGGTTCCAAAATAGACGACTTGGTTCATTTATTACTTGGGGTAACTTCTATCCGAGTTATAGGGGTTTGCTTGGTATCTGATCGAGCCTCCTCCCCTGAGTTTAACGCAAAAGTTAGGATTCTAAATCAATACCTAACAGTAATATTTAATGGCATACATAATGTTTTTTGTTGGAGCCATAAGGGCTTCACTCGCTCATCTATCTCACCGTTTTTACCCGATGGCGTACATTTTACGCGCAGAGCTCAATATCGTTTGTACCGTAGCTACCGGGGTGCAATACTCAAAGCCATGCAGTTACTTTAAGCTAGAGGGGTTTATCTCCTCTATATGTTAAATATTTGGAGGCTTCGCCCTCTAATTTAATCTTTTACATTTATAAAGATTGGAGGCTTCGCCCTTCATGTCATTATGTTATTATCAATCACACTTCGCTGTGATTTTAAACGTCACCAATCGCACTTCGCTGCGATTTTGTTGAGGCTTCGCCCTCACTGTATCTATACTATGTGTTATTATTTATGACCAATTTGTCATATGTCTTTTGTTTTAAGTACAAATTTCGGGCTCAGTGGTGCGGTCACCTTCGTGTGGCCAGGCTTGACCCAACCAATTGAATTTTTACGATTCATTGATTCTCATGCGCATACGTATGCGACTAAATCTTCGGCATGGCTGTGTTCTAATAGTTTTAAAAGTCATTTCTTTCAGCTCATCATGCAGTCCAACCACAACACACGTTCGAAACGCACAGCCACAACTTCTGTGCCCAATCAACCGCCTTCTCGGCGCCCTCGGAGGAGTCGTTCGTCAGTGTCAGCTACAGCGCTCGCCACCAACAGCCCCAGTAGTGCTGCCTCGACATCCACACTTCCCGCAGTGGCTCCAGTCAATTTTGCCACAACATCAACGGGACCAAGTTCAGCCATTTCGCCTGCGCTACTTGAGCAAATAGTGTCAACCGTAACAGCTGAAGTAACTCGACGCCTAACACCACTCTCGCAACCAGAGCTACCCGGTGAGGTTATTGAAGCTCCAGTGGTCACTACTACCTCAACTTCAACGGTTCCACGACTGCCTGGTTCTGCTGTCGTCGAGCAAGCGTTACATTCTGCCCATTCAGCCATTACAGGTGAGACATTCTCTGCTATACCCTCATTGCCTGGTCAACCGTACCATTCGGTAACCTTACCTCTTGACTCTCGAGTTTCCACGACATTAAAGAACAAGATTTGGGACGATAATTTTATAGATTTTGGGTCTCTGTTGAGCAATCCAGTGATGGATAATAAGTTTCAACTTAGCGTCACGCCTTCTAGTGATGGTCTCGCTTCATCACTTTCACTTGATCCGGTAACTAAACCACAAAAGGTGGCTAGTATTTCGATGTGGATGAGCGCATTTCGTATTTTTGTCGGGGTTTATACGCAAAAATATCCTCATGAATCACCTGCGTTGATGAAGTATGGCGATATTGTGCAGGATCTGGCGGATCGAGGCCACAATTGGCGTTTTTATGACGAAAACTTTCGTTTTTTGCGACAAAGAGAACGCAGCGCACTGTCTTGGGGTAACGTGCACTGGGAATTGTGGCTTAGGTCTCAATACTCTCCCAATAAACCAGCCGCCCAAATGCAGCGCGCTGGGGTTTCTGCTAACAAACAGCCATTTCTAAACGTACCACGCGGTCATTGTTTCAAATTTCACAAAGGTGATGAATGTTCCGGCTGTGAATTTAAACATAGCTGCTTTAAATGTGGAGGCCCGCACCCCGCATTGCGATGTAATTTTCGTGGCTTTTCAAAAAAGGAGCAATTTCGAACTACCAGGTCAAACCAGCACAATATCGCTTCCAACGCCAATAAAACTAAATCATCTTAGATATTTTTTACAAGGTTATATTTTACAGGATACTGCAACACTTATTTCAGGTTTTACTACCGGTTTTTCTTTACATTTTCACGGCACTATAAATCTTAACGAAGGCAAGAATTTGCCTTCCGCGTTAAATAATGAAAGTGCAGTTGATCAAAAATTATCTAAGGAATTAGCTGCTGGTAGACTGGCCGGACCTTTTATTGCGGCGCCATTTCATCCCTTTCGAGTTTCTCCCCTTGGTCTTGTACCCAAAAAGTCTCCTGGCGAGTTTCGTCTGATTCACCATTTATCTTTTCCTCGCGGATCGTCAGTCAATGATGGCATGACACCTGACAATACGAGTGTCCATTACGCCACAGTGGCTGATGCTATTCGTTTAATAAAGGCTGCTGGGAAAGGTTGTTTTCTTGCGAAAACAGACATTAAAAATGCGTTTCGTATTATTCCAATTCGCCCAGAAGACCATTGTTTACTCGGAATGAAATGGCGCGGCAAGTATTATTATGACCGTTGCCTACCCATGGGCGCAGCGAGTTCATGTAAAACTTTTGAAACTTTTAGTACTGCCATTCAATGGATTGCTCAACAAAAACTTAGTATACCAGCTATTCTACATTTGCTTGATGACTTTTTGCTGGTAGCTGCGTCCTATGATTCCTGCTTGACTCAGTTACATCGATTTCTCAATTTTTGCGCTTTTGTTGGGTTACCTATGGCCCCAGAAAAGACATGCGGTCCGTCAACGACGTTGTCTTTTGCGGGTATTGAGTTAGATACCATAAAACTTGAGGCGCGTTTACCTTTAGATAAATTACGCAAATGTACTGATTTTATCACCGCATTTCGACAGCGTGAGAAAATCACATTAAGAGAATTGCAATCTTTAATTGGCCTCTTAAATTTCGCCTGTTCTGTCATCATCCCAGGACGGGCATTTTTGCGTCGCTTAATTGACCTCACCCACGGCATCCGTTTATCTCATCACTTTATTAAGCTCAATCGCGAGTCAAAAGAGGATTTAAATGTTTGGCTCACGTTTCTTGCCAGTTATAATGGCCGGTCGTTTTTTATTGACGAACAATGGGCCAATTCTCAGCAACTAAGTTTATTCACGGATGCTGCGAGTGGTGTCGGTTTCGGCGCAATATTTGGCTCAGAATACTGCTATGGTTTATGGCTTGATACATGGCGGCATCGGAACATTGCAATTCTAGAGTTTTATCCGATTGTACTGAGTTTATGCTTGTGGGGTCATAGGATGGCAAACCGCAGTGTTTTGTTCTTCACTGACAATGAGGCTCTGGTTTACGTCATCAATAAGCAATCATGCAGGGACAAAACTTTGATGCAATTTGTTCGTAAGCTTGTCCTTGTATGCTTGCAACACAATATCTTATTCAAAGCTAAACACATTCCAGGGACGTACAATCGTTTGGCTGATCTCTTGTCTCGCTTTCAGGTTCAAACCTTCAAGCGCGAGGCACCAGCCTCGATGAATGTCTGCGCAACGGGCATCCCTACAGTTCTGCTGCCATAAAATTGGGGGATATTATTTCCCTCCTAACCCAGTCAAGCCTGCGGCAATCCTCTATCGCTACATATAGGCAAGCGTGGAGAGTTTTCGACCAATTCCATATTCATGTTTTTGGTACATCTTCCTACATATTGCCTATATCACCTCACATTTTAGCGATTTTCATAGCTTACATGTTTGATCGGGATTACGCCCCCGCAACTGTCAACACCTATGTTTCAGCGATTGGTTATTCACACAAACTATTGCACTTGGTTGACCCTACTAAGGTATTTTATATTATACAAATGTTAAAAGGCTATGGAAAACTTGGCTTTCGCTTAGATAGTTGGTTACCTATCACTCTCCCAATTTTAACCCGATTACTAATGGCTGCTCCACACTGTATTGGCACTTCATACGACCAATGCCGCTTTCAGGCGATGTGTGGTCTTGCATTTTTTGCCTTTCTACGTATTGGCGAGATAACATCGACATCAAAGCAGTCTCCTATTCCTCTTTGTTTTAAATTAACCTTTACCGACTATAAACACAATTACAATCAGCGACCGTTTTCCATGGTCATTTATCGTCAACCAAGTCATAGCCCCTGCCCAGTAAAACTGTTATGTCGCTATTTAGCCTGTCGTGGCAATTCCTCTGGACCTATTTTCATTACTACTGCGGGGGCGGCAGTGTCGAGAAACATGTTTGCTAAACAGCTGAATGACTGTCTAAAATTTTGCAATCTCAATCCTTCGGTTTACAAGTCTCATAGTTTCAGAATTGGTGCAGCATCATTTGCGGCAGAACATGGGGTGTCTGATGCGCAGATACGCATTCTGGGTCGTTGGAAATCGAATGCATTTCACAGGTACATCCGCGTTCAAACGCTTACTACAACATAACCTGTATTATTTTAACACCCTCTTTTAAACAGCATTGCGGGGTGATGTCTAGAGGAGGGTTACAATTATGGCTTATGGTGTTATTCAGCAGGGGCGGATAACACCATTTCTGCCAAAATACACATTATAACTTACATATATATTTAACTTGGCAGTTAGCAGGGGCAACTGTTACTATGCTATCCAATTGTAAATGATATTGCACGGTGAGCAGGGGCCACTGTCTTCAAACAATTGAATGTGTCACCAACAAACACTTTATACCTAAGCGGCTAGCAAGGGCGGTCGTTTCAACATTTATGGAAACAGTTATCCTGAACGATGTTTTCAATTTCGACGGTGCGCAGGGGCGTCTGTCTTTTCCAAATCAAATGTTATTGTGTATCCAATATTCTTTGTATATGATACACTGACTTTCCATTGGGATGCATTATTATAGTCCTTGGCGTTGCATTTCCCTCGGGTGGGGAGACTTTTATATTCATTTCCTCCTTTTGCGTACTGGGAAATGAATTGCAAAGTCTTTGGCGTGTAGTCCTGCCACCTTTACTGGCAATTGAACATCAATATATAAATCAAAATGAACTGTAGTATTATTCTGATGATTAAAATATGTTATTATTGATTTTTATATAATCATTTTCAATAAAGCGGCTATGAATTGTTCATAGCCAAAATTTACCCATAAAGACATTGTCCATTTATTGCTTGCCAGTAAACATAGCTTGGTTAATGCAACGCTAATCGGATATCCGTAGTTTATTAACTGAAGGAAGGCGGGACATAAATAAAAATATTTCCCAGGAAATATGGATTTTTATGTCACGCCTGACTTAACACGATTAGATGACATAATAGCTTTATCTTAATCTATGGCGCGCCGGTTGAAGAGGCAGGAAACTACGTAACATTGCCAAGATCAAGGTCGGATTCTTGGCATATAACGAAGATATAGCACAAGTAATTTCATAAGTGCACACGACTTGTATCAGAGCGAAACACTTGAACTTACCCACCTCCTCCCACCAGGCCTGCCAGCTATAATTAGATTGTGTGGTTTAATTAGTTATACACACCTCCTGGCGTGTAGTCCTGCCACCTTTACTGGCAATTGAACATCAATATATAAATCAAAATGAACTCTAGTATTATTCTGATGATTAAAATATGTTATTATTGATTTTTATATAATCATTTTCAATAAAGCGGCTATGAATTGTTCATAGCCAAAATTTACCCATAAAGACATTGTCCATTTAGTGCTTGCCAGTAAACATAGCTTGGTTAATGCAACGCTAATTGGATATCCGTAGTTTATTAACTGAAGGAAGGCGGGACATAAACAAGTTTTAAAAGGATTTTGTCGCTAAATGTCCCCATTTTGACGGCGGAAAGTTTTTACACTGTTTAGTGCGGCCCTTATTCGGGGGCGGCGCTCTTTAAAAAAATTTGATCTCAAATGCGGCGCTCATTCGGGGCCGGCGCTCAATTGGGGGCGGCGTTCAATCGAGTAAATACGGTACTTACAGAAATACCGTTTATTGATTCAACTTTTTACTACTTTGCGCGTTGTTGTGTAAGCAAAATAGTTCGAATCTACCGCGTTCTGTCTCTATTCAAATTAAAAATGACATGTTGAAATTACTTGTCTATTTGCCTTCTAAAACTCAACATTTTATTGGCTGAATTATTTAATCCACTTGAGATCCACATTCTAGCACGATTCAAACATACCCTGTAGTGTGTTTGGATCGTGCTTCGGTGCCTTTGAAATTTCAAGCAAATCGTGTCAGATTTCAAGCATGCTTGGGTTTTGTGTTTTGCGCGGTCACACTAGCAAGCGCGATTGGAAGGCGATGTGTTGAGCGATTCAAGTGGATTTAGTCCAAGCAAGCACCATTCTAGATGGTAAGCTGTAAAACATGGAATCTGGAATCTTGGAATCCTGGAATCTTGATTTTAGCTCTCATCATAAACCGACGATATTAAGGTCTGCTTCTGCTAACTCAACAAGTATTAAATTATCGCAAGCAGAACAATATGTTGCATAAGTATAATAATAATATCTTGATAATAACATATTCTGCGGTTATATGATAAGATTCCAGGATTCCAAGATTCCAGGATTCCAAGATTCCAGGAATCCAAGATTCCAGGATTCCAAGACTCCAGATTCCAGATTCCAGATTCCATGTTTACAGCTTACACCTTGTATTGGGTAGAGGTTTTTCTGGATCAGGTTTCGTGTTTGGCATTTACCTTTTTTGTCCTTTTCATGATACATAGAAACTTAAAAACCTGTATAGTAACACTGCATCAATACGAGATGATCCTTACTGGATCTCTAGGAAGAACAGTTTATTAATTTAGAACTGATAGAGCTATCCAGTATAAATACAGTTAGTTTAGTTTAGGCTCCCTCCTGTAGTAACACTGGATCAATAAGAGATGATCCTTACTGGACCTCTAGGAAGAACAGTTTAGAACTGATAGAACTATCCAGTATAAATAAAGTTAGTTTAGTTTAGGTTTCCTCCTGTAGTAACACTGGATCAATAACAGATGATCCTTACTGGACCTCTAGGGAGAACAGTCTAGAACTGATAGAGCTCGAGCTATCCAGTATAAATACAGTTAGTTTAGTTTAGGTTCCCTCCTGTAGTAACACTGGATCAATAAGATATGATCCTTACTGGATCTCTGGGAAGAACAAAACAGAACTGATAGAGCTAGAATAGAATAAAATAGAATAGAATAGACTATATTTGCTCACAAAAATATTTACAATGGGAATATAGTTCAAATACAATAATATAAGGAGCTAGGGACCTTTTGAAATCCTGTTAGACTTTTGATATAAGGCCCCTATATTGTTTTGAATGAAATAAAATACATAAATCTAAATTGGTTCAATATATATCCAGTATAAATACAGTTAGTTTAGTTTAGGTTCCCTCCTGTAGTAACACTGGATCAATAAGAGATGATCCTTACTGGACCTCTAGGAAGAACAGTTTAGAACTGATAGAGCTATCCAGTATAAATAAAATTATCTTAGATTAGGTTTCCTCCTGTAGTTACACTGGATCACTAACAGATGGTCTTACTGGATCTCTAGGGAGGGAGAACAGTTTAGAACTGATAGAGCATAGCTAGAGCTATCCAGTATAAATAAAGTTTAAACCAACGACGGGAAATGGAAATCGACTGGTTGTTGCAAAACACTAGGCTTTCTAATACACAAAATATGAACAAAAAACATTACCTTGCCGTATCTGACCACACATTCAATGCCTTCAGAAGTAATTTGGCCAAGTAAAGATGCGTTTAGGTGTCCAAAATTAACATTTTCAACGACCATAATTTACACTATAAGCTCTTTGTTCCAAAGTCAAACCGCCGAAGGATCAAAGTTCAAATTGCTGCGTCTTTACCCAGAGTCCTCTTATTCGGTGCTACGTCATGTAATGTACACTATAGTGGATCAATACTATATGACAATGAAAGAGAGACTTGGAGCAAGTCTAGAGTCCTCTAAGCTCTGGCTTATCCGCTCGCGAGATAACTATTATGGTTTTACTTTTTATGAAAATGCTGAGATCTATGTGATTGCGATTCATACTACAATATGGAGTCTGAATAACAACAGAGACACCTGATCAGTTGAAATTATTGCATGTGTGTATAAAAAATTATATAGAAACTATAACGATTAAAAATCGTAATATGCATGTGCATGCATGGTGCAATTTAATAATTTAATTCAAGAATATTGCAAAAACAACTTCCTTATTTTGAGAAAAATAATCTTACATTGAGGAAATTAATCATTCCATCAATCAAGAAACGGTTAATTAATGTATATATTTTCAAGAGAAAACGTCTTATGAGTTATGTTGAAAAACGAGGTTCGTTTTAATATAGCATGCATGCAGTTAGAGGAAATAACTTATCATTTTAAGAAAACAGTTATATGTGGAATTAACTATATTATATACGAAGTATTTTTCTTCAGACTGAATAATTTTCTTATTTTAAGAAAACCGGGTTATCTTAAATCAAGAAATATATTTTTAAGAAATAATTTTCTCATTTTAAGGGAACAGTTATCTTAAATCAAGAAGTAATTTCTCTTGAGAAATAATTTTCTCATTTTAGGAAAACAGTTTTCTTAAATTAAGAATAATTTTTTCTTAAGAAATGATTTTCTCATTTTAAGAAAACATTTTCTTAAATTAAGAAAATAATTTTTCTTAAGAAATAAGTTTCTCATTTTAAGAAAATATTTTCTTAAATGGAGAAAATAATTTTTCTTAAGAAATTGATTTTTTGCTGTGTGCGGGTGGTACAATATATTTGCGGCTCGCTGAGAGTTTCCGAGGCTTCAGCATTTGTGTCCAGTATGGATTTCCAAGGTCTCTTATGATACGAATTTTAATATAACACATCTAGTAGCTATGATTAATCTAGTTCATACATAAACAATTCTTCATAAAAAGCAGCTACTTCTCTGCGAGTTTGAGCTTTGTTTCCATTTGATCGTAACTGTCGCGAACACTAAGTAATTTTCAACGATGCGAAATAGGGCTGTATCGTTATTCTTTGTGTTTTGTGATGTAAAAGTACTGTATGCAGAAATTTCTGATATTAGTAATATAACTACTGGACGTGGAAATAATAATATATCTACTGTATACATCAGTTGTCTTGATATGTTTGCGACTGTTATAATTATCAATTTAGTCCCGCTATACAAATTCACACCGCCCTCGTTCACAAAATTTGAATTCGTAAATTTTTTGATTATTCTATTTATATTACCCAATCTCCTAATAGCCATAAAAGCCGGATAAAAGGGTGTTTTGCGAAATTGAAGCAAACCAAATCTGTTAGTTTTCATTTAATACTAATCTAATCATATACTCTATTACGTGTACGAAAAAAGCTTGTCCCCATGCGTAGCGGTACATGTTGCCAAATAACGCATGCGCGCAGGGGCGTAAAACCGGGGGGACAAGGGGGTGGGGCCCCCCCAAGTTTTGGCAGTGCCCTTTTACAATTTAAAGTGCCGGCAACTGCCTGATCAATTTTATACTATTGACATTTTGAAAACTGTATTGCCACAGATTTGGAGAAAAAGTTGCGTTTTCATAAAAAAAGCATATCAGGTTCGTCCGAAAATTTTTACTATTTATAGCTAAATATGTACTCCGGAAAATTTTAAATGTCCGAATGGTACAAAATGAAAAGGCCTTGGCGACGGGGGGGCCAAGGTGCCAAAAATTTTTTGAGAGCCCTTTTTTTTTTAAAGTCCCCTAAAGCCTGCCCCCCCCAACTTGTATTGCTTCCTACGCCCCTGCAAGCACGTGATCACGAAAAGAGAAATATTGGTTATACTTAAAATTCCACCATAAATTCGTTATATAAAACGTTTTGATGTTGTCAATTAAAATCTTCAGCAAAAATCGGTTACAGCACATGCGCAATCTATCATTTTTAACGTACCCACAATCCTAAACGACGCTAAATATATTCGCAGTATAAATTTGGAGACTGCATCGTGCGTAATATTAAATGATGCGCATTTGAGACACGGCCATAGAAATCCTTCGATATTGCAGTGTTGGATTTTGTTTTTGTGGATCATCGGATCATTTGCTTTTTGTAGAGATTTGGATCATTTGCTTTTTGTGGATCATTTAGATTTTTGCTTTTTGTGGATCATTTGGATCATTTGCTTTTTGTAGATCATTTGGATCATTTGCTTTTTGTGGATCATTTGGATCATTTGCTTTTTGTGGATCATTTGGATCTTTGCTTTTTGTGGATCATTTGGATCAATTGCTTTTTGTGGATCACTCAGGTAGATTAATGCATGGGTCAAGTTTCAGCCAAGGTCGAAATATGGGTCTACCAAGTTGGGCGCGATTTTTAAAAAGTAAACAAGGTTAGGTTTAACCTGTCATGGTTTAATGTTATAGATTTTAACCTGGTGAATTTTTTACCGATTTTTATTTTATTATTCGCTTTCCCCAATTGCCATTTTGGTTTAATGTTGTACATAGCATCTTGTACTAAACGAATCTAACTTGCTTTGTTGTCTAGATGGCTAAACAAAGTAAATATTTTGCGTGTTATGTCAATTTATTCCGTAACTGTGCGTATTTATTTAAATATATTTTGAATATTCGTGTTAATGTAGGTATATCAAGTTATGACTATCAAGTTTGTGTTGTGCTTTATCTATTTAGCATAAAATTATCGTTGCTTATGTATTGTAACCTTGTCCGCAAAACGGGCGAAAGTCATAGACCAGCGGGAGTCCGCATTGTCGATTATAATTAGTTGCGCAATAAAATATGAAACTACAACTTTATAATATGAAATACAACATGAAATTGTTGCATTTATATTGACTTGCGTCTTGCGCAACTAATTATAATCGACAATGCGGACTCCCGCTGGTCGTAAATAATACGGCTTAATGGCGATAGCTTTCTTTCTATATTTGATACAAACTATGACTTTCGCCCGTTTTGCGGACAAGGTTAAAATACATAAGCAACGACAATTTTATGCTAAATAGATAAAGCACAACACAAACTTGATAGTCATAACTTGATATACCTACATTAACACGAATATTCAAAATATAAATACGCACAGTTACGGAATAAATTGACATAAAACGCAAAATATTTACTTTGTTTAGCCATCTAGACAACAAAGCAAGTTAGATTCGTTTAGTACAAGATGCTATGTACAACATTAAACCAAAATGGCAATTGGGGAAAGCGAATTTATGAGTCCGCACAATGGGTTTCCATTTAAAATGTGTTTATTGACGTTTTAGGCTATATAACTGCTCATGTGATTGTGAAGAACGAATAATAGAATTAAAATCGGTAAAAAATTCACCAGGTCAAAATCTATAACATTAAACCATGACAGGTCAAACTTAACCTTGTTTTCTTTTTAAAAATCGAGCCCAACTTGGTATACCCATATTTCGACCTTGGCTGAAACTTGACCCATGCATTAATCTACCTGAGCATTTGGATCATTTGCAATTCAATTCGCCAGGCGCCAGAACAAAAATCAAACTTGCGCGTACGGCGCAACCAGCATTATATAAACAATCAGTCATCTGTAGGTACTATTGCGGTGCAGGGGACGTTTAAGCGATAAATAGTACTGTATTATTTAAAATAAAGCTTTTGATATAAACGTTTAGTTGCTTTCTTGCGATATACGAAATCCATGCGGCTGGTGGTCCGTTATTTAGAAATAGACCTAAGTACATGTGTTCGAAGCTTTCAACACGACACTGAGACTGAAAGACCTGAAAATATAGCTAAACTACAAATTTAACGAACAGAAAATATTTGCGTAGCAGCGTTAGACTAGGAAGCTATTTTGGTTGGTTTAAAACAAACGAGCGTAGTCAGCGTCTATGAGGATGATTGTGTGACATATTTGCAGCCTTGCAGTGTTTCCGTGTGTGAGCGACAGTGTCGAAGCTAAATTAAAAGATAATTAGAAGCTAAATTAAACGATATGTATATGATTACAATGCGCGCATTATGTATTACGGCTGAAAAGTGTAGAGGTATCATATTCTGTCAAAATAACAGCGGCTAGCGCGCTCGGTTGGCAAATAGCCCGACATCGCACAAATCATTTCGGTTTTCAATCGCAAAATCCCAAATCGTAGCAATTTATGGAATATTTCCGAACGCCACATAAACATGAAATGTTTGTCTATCTTTAAGGGCCACGAACATATACTAGGAGATAAAATAGAAAAATTTGAGGCTCGAGCGTTAGCCACCGACAGCGTAGAATTTATAGCTCAATCAATATGTTTGTATCAGACATATGCAATCGACATAGTTACATTCGCGACGTTCATGATAGGGACTATCACACTTCCAAAGCTAATAAACCTATATCCTATAACTTAAGACATTTTATCATCAAACAATACATCTATAGACTTATTAGACTATACGAAACGGAAACATTTCAGTACTTGTTATACTATATAGATAACAGCAAGATAAAAAAACAGCATGTATTTTACTTTATTACTGCATGGAGATTTGTTTTTTTAAATTTTCCTGTATTTATCTAGCGCATAAATGGAAAAAAGTACGAAAAAAATATTAAAAATAAAAATAATATTTTCGTGAAAAAAATGCGTTTTCGGCACATTTTATGACCCACGACTTTACCAAAGACTTTACCCACGACTTTACTCACGACACACGACTTTTAACCCACGACACACGCCACACGACATATAGGGACACTCCTTCGATTATATAGGATCACTATTCAAACTAGAATAACTATAGATGTATAAATCTTCAAACTAGAATAACTATAGATGATGTTGAAATTATGTTAGCCTAATACACTTACATTCCTTGACGCAGTTCTTGCTACATAACACACCAAAATCCACCCGAAATGTTGACCACATGCAACAGGGATAGATACAACCATTATATACAATCGGAAAAGATTTTATTGAATAATTGAATTAATATCTAAAGTATTTAAGCGAGCCTTTTGTGAAACAGAACATTATGTATACACAGTGTATGGCGCAAACACGTGGAAGTTGGATATGATTTGACCATAATATACCTTTAAATAATTCAATAACCCATAATTTCAACATCTATAGTTATTCTAATTTGAATAGTGATCCTATATAATCGAAGAGATCTTTTGAAACACCGGATTTATGAAATAGTACAACAGGAATTTGAATCTGTTTTCTGACTTCGTTAATGATTCGTGGATCATGGGAAACGCACAAATACACAGACGCACAAATACACAGACGGATCACACAAATACACAGACGGATCACACAAATACACAGACGAAACCAGGAGAACACGCTCGTGAATACAAAATAAGTTCTCTGGATTGTTCCTATCGTTGCTACCATCTTTCCATTTCCAGTGCCTTAGTGCAGAGTGACAATTGGGGCATGTTATTTGACCAAAGTTGTTTGTATGAAACAGTGGGTTCCACAAGATGACTGAAGGAATAACGTTGTTTATCCAGTTATGTTTGAAAAAAGGGCTACCTTCTGGGCAAATAAGAACTTGCGTTTCGTCTGGCTTTTTCTCGCAATTCTCAATGCATAACTTGATAAAATTTAACCCACGACTTTACTATGGGACCAGCACACGGCGAATTTGACAAATAGCACGTTAAAATACTGATAAAAACTCCCACAAACAACAAGTCACTTTTGTTGCCATATTCGAATGACATCTAAAGCATGACTTAGTCGCGAGTGTATCACATGCAGGTGTGATTAAGAATCCAATACATAACTATTGTGTTTCGACACTGTCGCTCACACACGGAAACACTGCGGCAAGGCTGCACATATGTCATCCTCATAGACGCTGACTACGCTCGTTTGTTTGAAACCAACGAAAATAGCTTGCTAGCCTAACAATATTTTCAAGTCTTTCAGTCTCAGTGTCGTGTTGAAAGCTTCGAACACATGTAATTAGATCTATTTCTAAACAAATTAACGGACCACCAGCCTGGATTTCGTATATCGCAAGAAAGCAACTAAACGTTTATATCAAAAGTTTTATTTTAAATAATACAGTACTATTTATCGCTTAAACGTCCCCTGCACCGCAATAGTACCTACAGATGACTGATTGTTTATATAATGCTGGTTGCGCCGTACGCGCAAGTTTGATTTTTGTTCTGGCGCCTGGCGGATTGAATTGCAAATGATCCAAATGATCCACAAAAAGCAAATGATCCAAATGATCCACAAAAAGCAAATGATCCAAATGATCCACAAAAAGCAAATGATCCAAATGATCCACAAAAAGCAAATGATCCAAATGATCCACAAAAAGCAAATGATCCAAATGATCCACAAAAAGCAAATGATCCAAATGATCTACAAAAAGCAAATGATCCAAATGATCTACAAAAAGCAAATGATCCAAATGATCTACAAAAAGCAAATGATCCAAATGATCCACAAAAAGCAAATGATCCAAATGATCCACAAAAAGCAAATGATCCAAATGATCCACAAAAAGCAAATGATCCAAATGATCCACAAAAAGCAAATGAACCAAATGATCCACAAAAAGCAAATGATCCAAATAATCTACAAAATCAAATGATCCAAATGATCTACAAAAAGCAAATGATCCAAATGATCCACAAAAGCAAATGATCCAAAGGCACCAGCCAAAAAGCAAAAGATCCGAATGATCTTACAAAAAGGAAACGATCCAAATGCAACAGCCAAAAAGCCTGACGATCCAAAACAAATAGGTAGCTAAAACTAGTAATATTTAAAAAACAAAGAACAAAGTGAAATGATATAATTCCATTATTTGCTATTGGTGTGACGTCACTCTTGACTTGTTCGCGCATAAACCGAATGTTTTGTCCCCCCCCCCCGCCCATCACTTTTCTAATAATCCGCCCCTAAATGGTCAGAGAGTTGCACCGGGAAAAGCGAGGAGGACCTATATAGTTGCATTTTCCGCAACTGTTGTTGAAAATTAATAAGCAAAATTGCAAAAGATTTGCATACTGTTAAATCTTTTCTACATGAAAATCGAAGCTCATTATAGATGCTCTGAGGTTTGCCTAGTTTCCAGATAATGTGTTGTTTAACTTTGTAAAATTATGTATTTAACTTCTTCATAAATTCAAAATTTTTAAAATTGTTTACTTTTTATTATTTTATATTAAAGGCTATCGCCCTCATAACAAGAGAAGTTTCCTCTCAAGAAGTAGACGGTACTGTGACCTGTTTGTTATTTCCCTCCCAATCAGGCCCCAGTTGCACGATACCGGATTCGCATCGGAGCGAGTCGAGCGACATCAATTAAACGCTTTTTATTTGGCCTCTTACAACTTTTCGTATTTGACGTTTTTGACTAATTCTGTTATATTATCATAAGTGTGGTTGCTAAATGTTGTAAAATGAATAAAATATAGCCCTGTGAAGTTCGCAAATCTTGTATATATTTGTATTACGCGAGGTAAAAATAACCACTTTCGGCTCAAAAATGGTTATTTTTCTCGCGCGTAATGCAAATATATACAAAATTTGCGAACTTCACAGAACTTCACTCCTCATTTTACAACAATTCGCAACCAAACTTTGCAGTTTTACTCATTTTAAGATGCTCTTTCCAGCTATGGTAATGGATTTCGTTCTTCATGTCTAGATCAAAATTTCCCCCAAGGGGGGGAGGGGGGATGGGGGGGTCCGGACCCCCCACTTTTTGTAAAGATCAATATTGTAATTCTTCCAAAAGTGAGAAGAAACTAGGGGGGGGGGGTGCAAGTTGCGAATATTTTTAAAGAAATCAACTGTCGTCATTAAATTGAAATAATTGCGTATTTGCGTTCACAAGTTATCCAGTATGTTATATATGTACAGTTTAGTTCGATACAACGCTTCAGAATATCTTCAAAGAAAAGAAATGAACTTAGTAACCGCTGTTGATGCGGTAACTTCGCTAATCGCTAAATGTTCTCCTTTCCGGATCGAGGAAAAATTTGCCGAGTTTGTGCGCGCGCACTGCTGAATTCAAGGCAGTCGAATTTCACGTTGAAGATTCGTTTAGAGATTCCAGCAACAACGCCGTAGAACGCTTCCAAGTATAGCTGATGAACAAACATTGCTTGATCAGTTGATGCATCATTAAGTCACCACGTTTTCTCCTCAACTCAAAACAGCACAACAGTGTCTGCAGAAAGTAAATTTCGCACTGGTTTTTACTATTGTCTGTTGGATCTGCTGCTGAGGGAGCTGAAGAGGCGATTTAATTTTAAAAGATTAAAATGCAGTAATTCTCAACTTAATAACAAGTTCATAAAACTTTCTTTATCTATTAATTTGACATGTTATGTTATTAGTTTATTCCACATATGCTTTGTTAATCTCGTAAATATTACATCTATGGCATAAAATAAACCAAATCTGTGGCATATAGATCACCAAAAGGCCATGCCAAATATGCACGTGGGAGCGTTTCGCTAACCTAAAAATTGAAAGATTTTCCGGGGACAATGTCCCCGGCTTTTAGAACAGTACTTTTATGTATTTGGCACTTTAAACCCCCCCCCCCATTCGTATGGGGCTGGCTACGCGCCTGGGAATCATCCATTGTGACATTTGCTATTCAGCTTTAAGCTGCAGCAACAGATTAAAACCGCCCTCCACATTTAGCTTTATTCTGTTTCTGATAACCACCAGTTGACCACCATCTGGAGCACTGATGCAAGACGGTGCTTAGTTAAGCCAGTTTTCCACTTCAATTGTGTCGTAGCGAAACGTAGCGTATTTCTTTGTTTCCTGACCACTAGAATGGAACTAATGACTTCGACACAAAAGAAAATGCTATGGTACGTTACGATACGATACGATACGATACGATACGGATGAAGTGGAAAACTGGCTTTAAACTCATTCGCTGTGTGTCATTTAGGTCTTTCGGCCAATCTTGCCCTGAGACAGGAAACTGGTGGGTCGAGCAAGTTATCACCTGACACAGGAGGAGGCAAGGCTGTGGACTTCCGAGTAGATGCGACAGATGTTACTATGCATTTTGCAACGTCGGATAAGATAGCGGATACTGATCCATACTGGTATGTGAAGTTGGACGACGTGTATCTGGTTCAAACTGTTGAGATTTTCAGCCGTCGTAATTGCTGCCCGGGTCATATGGGAACCATTGAAGTTAGAGTAGGTGGGTATCACACACGAAGGAGATGCACAAAGAAGGGGGAGCGGAAAGAAAATCCCACTTACAACGTCAGTCGGGTGGTCGATCAAACAGTCGATCCAGGGATGGGATCCAGCCAGATTTGGTAGGGTGGGTTTGCTCATTGAGTTTTGGGTCGTGATTGGGGGGGGGGGGACCTTTCGCCAAGTACACAATCACTAGAGGGGAAGCTACAGGCAACAATAGAGACCTTAAGATTGACGTTTACGGCAAACGTCAAACCGCTAGCGAAGTTTTTGATTTTACAACTCTATTATAATAGCTTTTACACCAGTTTTGAAATATGTTAAATTTATTAAACTTGTGCTCTTTGGCAATGATTTAAGAAAGCAAATTAACCACTAGTCATGCCATTCACCAAAGCAGTAAATTAAGATTTGGCGTTTCAAGTTGGCGTTTGGCGTATAGATTTCATGCTTGAACTGCTACGAGGGCTTGTAGTCGTTAAAGCATGAAATTTATACGTCAAAGGCGCAGGGGGTAACTTGCGATAAAGGAATACCGAATAGCTTTCCGTGCGGGATTGCGTGATCTATGCACGCGGGTTATTTCGAGACTTTCGAAAAGCGTAAAAAAACTCGAGCTGCCAGGCGAGTGCTTGTTTATGCTTTCCGAAAGTCGAGAAACATTGCAAGTGCATGGATCATGCTATCCTGCACAAAAAAACATTCGGTAATAGACTTTCCCCTTTTAAGTGAAATTTTGATCTAGACAAGTCTGGACAAAAATTTCATCACAGCTTGAAAGAACATCGCAAAATTAGTAATATTCCGAAGTTTCGTTGCAAAATGTTGTAAAATGCGGATAATATAGCCTTGCGAAGTTTGCTGTTTTTTAGTCATTTTGTATTACAAACGGGAAATTGATAATCAGATGACCAAACTGATTATCAATTTCCGATTTGTAATACAAAATGACTGAAAAACGGCAAACTTCGCAAGGCTATATTATCCGCATTTTACAACATTTCGCAACGAAACTTCGCAATATCACTAATTTTGTGATGTTCTTTCAAGCTGTGATGAAATTTTTGTCCAGGCTAGTCTAGATCAAAATTTCACTTTAAAAGGGGAAAGGTCTATTGTTTAATAAAACAACTACAGTGAAACGTTTAATGGTCAAGTTAATTCACTCTCTGTAGTTATTGTAAACCATTGTTCACTGTTTTGGTGAACTTGCCGCTCGTTTAATTTAATATACTGGTATTGCATGTTTATTTCACGCATTGATATGTTTTCGTTGTCCGACATTTTGAAAACCCCGCGGAATCAGGCATTTAAATTTTCCGTCCTGGATTGTCTCATCTTGCACGGGTATTGGCCAATCAGATTGCGTGTTTCACTGTAGTTATTATAGAACTTCTTTTCATTTAGGTAAGTCGTTGAATGACGATGGAGGCAGGACTAATCCATTGTGCGGGGAACCTAAGAACATGAACAACATACCCAAGCACACATTCCGATGTGAGCGGTATGGCAGATACGTGACTGTAAAGAAGACCGATATACCAGTTCAGTATCATTTGATTTTTCTTGAAGTCCTGGTGAATAAAGAACCAACTCGTAAGTTAGCGCTATCGATGGATACCTGTGTATATAAATTAGCGCGGTTAGATTAGAATTTGCGCAAACCACAGGTGCGCAAACTCAAAACTGAGCGAAGAATAATACGCCGAAAAGGATTCTGCAGGCCCAAACATGAGGGTTAGCAGAATACCAATGAACTCGATAATACTGGCTCAATATACCGCTATACCTAATGATACTTTTCAACTATGTCATCGCCCTATGATCTGTTGAAAACAGTTTAGAGAACGAGGGGAATTCAAATCCACTATGCGGTGAACCTAAGGATTTAAGTGACTTGCCCAGTTATGTATATCGCTGTGAACTCTACGGCAGATATGTTAATGTAAAGTAGTCTGATTTTCCAACCGTTCAAGTTTTAGTTGATAAGGAACCGACAAGTAAGTATACTTAACTAATACTAAACCAAGCTAAACGAACTTTTTTAAACTTTATTGCTCTGTCAGTTTTAAACTATTCTCCCTGAAGGTACAGTTCAGGCAATACCTTATATTAACCCAGTATCTCAAATGCATTAATAATTTGTGAGTAAATTAGCCAACCATATTGTTTTATTTTGCTCACATGATAATAATGGATACCTGGTGAATTCCTGTCCTACGACTGGATCAAAATTACTTTACCTCACTTGAAGTATTGATTTATTCATATGAGATGTCATTTCAAATCATACAAATCGGATAGGGCTAGATTTCAAGTCCTCGCATTTCAATCACATCAATTTGATCAAATGGACGACTTGCGCTTTAGAAACATTTTTAATCTGGGAATAGCAAAGGATATTTTTGGAAAGAAGTTATCAAAATTAGAAAAACTGCAAAGTTTGGTTGCGAAATGTTGTAAAATACGGAAAATATAGCCCTGCGAAGTTGGCAAATTTGTATACATTTTTATTACGTGCGGAAATTGGTAACTAATTTAGTTACCAATTCATGCACGTAATACAAAAGTATACAAATTTGCCAACTTTGAAGGGCTATATTTTCCGTATTTTACAACATTTCGCAACCAAACTTTGTAATATTACTAATTCCAAGACGCTCTTTCTAGCTGTGGTGATAGATTTCGTTGTTCTTACTTAGATTAAAATTTAGTCTAAAGCGCAAGTCGTCCATTGAAACAGAGAGATCAAATTGCGCGAACTTGAAATCTAGTCCAGTTCTCATAGTCGGACTTGAAATATTACGTCACTACCGGAAGAAACTTAGAAGAAACTAATATTGTTTATACTGAACATATCAAACAGTTTTTCTTTGAGGTCCAGCAACAATCATATTGTATGTCTATACTGGCACAGTGGTACTACAGAAGGGGAAGCAAACTAATCTAACTTTATATTTATATTTATATTAGATAGCACCTGCTCGCTTTTCCGCAACTGCTTCTGGTCAGAACGTAAACTACATAGTTTTTCCTTCCCAATTTTTATCTGTTATTAAATACTCGTAACAAAGTGTTTCGTTGAACTAGATTTCAAAAATATATTCCTGTTTTGTAGGGCAAGCAATTTTCGACTGTGTTGAACTGATTTCAACGAATCTTTAACCACCGTCTTCTTTTTTTTTTCAAGTAAACGTTGCTTTCGGCAAAACCACATCCCACAGCTCAACTTTCAGAGACGTCAGCGGCTCTGACAAGGCAGTTGATGGTACACATCTGGCATTTAATTCAAGACGAGGTCTTCCTCCCCATTGGTGCATGATCGATTTGGGAGAGACCATACCCATTGTGAAAATATTTCTCCTTCATACACACCGTATATTCGCATTGAAGAAGATGATTTTAACTATTGGTATGTATGATTGGGCCTGGTACCACTTCATTATAGTTTTATTTATAATCTCTTAATAAGTTCTTTGTACAAGTTTGCGTAGCAATGACATAATATTATGTTTTGATTTATTATTATTATTATTAAGTCTTTATTAAACATAGCCACAACAGACGTGTGACTTTACATTTAAAATTCTCATATACAAGGTTCCAAAAAAAAAAAAAAAAATAAACTTAATTATTATTATGTATCTAAGTTAATTATTCTTAGGTAGAATTCTTAAAAAGACTAAGACTAAGTTATTATTATGTATCTAAGTTAATTATTTTAGCTAAAATTATTAAAAAGACACCTATTTAAAAACGACCGTTTGAATCTTTCTGTTTTAACCTTAGGTAATATGAAATCGTGTTCGCGTTCTCTTAACGGTCTATATTAATTCGCGTTCTCTTAACGGTCTATATTAATTGTGGAAATGCCACGTTTATTTATTGCTGCAATTAAGCTTCCCGATCTTCATCAGTCTCGTAATGTTAAGCCTTATATTATTAATGTTAATATCAGTTAAGATGCGGACTTGTGTGCATCGAAATCTTTGCAATAGTATATAGAAGATATTACACGGCGGCGCGAAGATATGACTCTTATCTTCGAGTGGTGAAAACAATATTTTACGAACAATATTTTACGAGAAAATAAAAGTCATATCTTCAAGCCACCGTGTAATGTTCTGTTTTTATTAGTCCCAAGCAAAAAATAACACGAGAAGATAAAAATCATATGTTCAAGTCACCGAAGATTGACCAACTAGGGATGTATTTAGTTTTAATTTTGTTTCATTTTAGGTGACATTTCAACCGACCATGGCAAGGATAACCCACGAATGGGTGGTGTACATGATTTTAGCAAAAGCTACACAACCACACTGTATAATAATCCCCGTATGTCTGGTCGTTATGCGACTATTGAATCATTAATAATGGAAGACGAAATTATCTTTATGGAAATTGAGTTATATTCGGAGTCGATGCGTAAGTATTGGAAAATTGGTTAGACTTTTCCGCACAATATGACGTATCAAAATGGTTTATACCTGTGTCTTTCATACCGTTTTCTGGTTATATATAATGTTTTCCTCAATATCATGCGAGAGAAGTGTATATTTACTATGTAAATATTCGCTTTTTTGCATGTTTGTACGTAGATTGATCCAAATAAATTTGTTAAACTAAACTGCATCAAAATGTTTTCTTCATGCAGCATTTATCAAAGAAAGAACAGGTCTCGGCTCGCATTCTGTTCCACTTTACCATGGCTACCAAAATGTGCTACCATGTCATTCGTATGGTCATCCAGCACCCTATATAGCATGGGTGAGTGAGGGTGTGGTATTACAGAATAGAACCAGTGACCAGGATACCAATCTTGTAGTTGTCGCAAATGGAACGAAGGGAACAACAACAGACTATGAATGCTGGGCGAGCAATATTCATGGCAAAGATCTTTATTCTATAACAGCTACTCATACCGGTCGTTATGACATGTGTATAAAACCTGAAGAGGTGAGAGATCCAAGCAGAAACAGATTTTCAAAACAAGACACAACGAAAGAAATACAAAATGATAGAGATTCCTTTGATGCAAGTAAAATGTACAGTTTTTTCAACCCGCTGAGCAGCTTGTATATGAAGGTACTGGTTGGATTTTTTTATGTTAAGTCTAACGAATTTATTTTTGGTATTCATTGTGCCTGATGCCTTGCTTAAATATTAGAGAGCTTAAAGGCTGGTTTAAGGCTGGCAAATTTTCTGTGATCACAGTAGGAATTTTTACAAATTTTAAGTTTCGAAGGATTTGCAACAAATGTTTCAGGGAACTGACTCGTTGTTTAACACTGAGTCAGGTCTCATGCACAAACATTTCTTACAAATCCTTCAAAACTTAAAAATTACCGATGCAAAATTCCTACTGTGATAACAAAAACTTTGATAATGTAAACCAGCGTTAAGGTTACAGGACACCCTTTTTGGCGTTTTGTGGAAAATCGCTACTGCGCGCTCAAAATCGGACTGATTTTCATCAAATTTTCACCAAATGTTAGCCAGTGCATGCAAAATATGATAAAGTTGTAAAATTGACAAACAATAAAATAATGTAAGAATTATTCAGGAGAATCTTAAGTCGCGTTACCTTTACGCTTTTGAGTTATGTTCCTGCTAGTTTTAAGATATATTTATGAAAATATCATTTTTATAAAGTAAAATAGTTGTTCTAAAAAATTTTGTTCGGAAATTTTTTTTTATGTCGTCATTCCACTGATATGGCGATTTCTTTGACGACTGCAATATATTTCTGAATCGTTTGTGTGAATTGCTCCTTATTATTAAAATATCCAAAATTAGAACAAAGCCGAACATAATTTTGAAACTGATGTCTTTAGCTATGTCCTGTGAAAATTTGAGAAAAATTTGTTAAAACCCGCAGGAGCACAACTCGTTTAAAAATCGGTAATTGCCGTAAAATTCTTTGGGAGAAAATTGAATTTGAATATTACATTTTCAATGTTTTTCTTATTGTAGCGAAATGTATTTTATTAAATAAAAAGTACTGGCACTAGTTGTCAAATAGAAATCCATTTTGTGATTAAAACAACTGAATATCTCCTGTAATATACTTTATTTCGATTCCATATTTTTGTCAGAGCTATAGTTCTCATAACCAAACATAATTACAAAATTTCAACTAGTTTCATAAAGAATAACGAAAGATATAATTGACTGAATACATCAAAATGGATTTCTATTCTGACAACCCTTTCTGAGCGCTGATTGGCTAAAATACGAACACGAGATCACCTGGAACTCTGCGAGTTTTCAACATTTTTCGTTCAAACTTGGTCAGATAGTAGAACTGGTCTAATGCTTTCATGGAAACCAATAAAAAAATTTTAGGCAAAATTAACACTCGAAGGTGTTCTGTAACCTTAAGCAAGGGACGTTTTTGACAATAAGTACGCCAACCAGAAGATAGTTGAGCCGTTATCGATGGCGAGAGAAGACAATTAATGTAGATCGGCTGTCGCCGTCACTTGCCATTTTATAACGGTTCGATTGACTTCAGGTTGGCGTGTTGTCAAAAACTTCGCTTGCTTAAACTTTCTAGTATTTCTGACAGTTTGTTTAATTCGCAAATCATTAATTATTCATGAGCAAAACACAAAGGAAACCAACACCGCATCGCTGTCTTGATACCACGGTAATAAATGCCCATAAATTAACCCAAATTTCGCCTTGAATTTCTCTCCAAAAACAAATTCGTTTGAGAAATAATATAACAAACGCAATAGCTATTTCGGCGTATAAAACACTTCAAATGTTTGAAAAAACTCGGTTAGCGTCTCGTTTTTCAACATGCTTTTCGGTATTTGTATATGCCGATAATATTTCTCGTTTATTGCATATCACTTCTATCGTTTTACAGCTTGCCACATCGTGCCCATCTACTTCGTCTTGTGGCACAGGTGCCCCAGGCTGGCTGCCTGATGGACATCCTAAACCTGAGGACGGCATGGTAAGAAGAAAAGTTTGCTTCCACTACGATGGAAATTGTTGTTACAAAGCTCTCTACATTGATGTGATTAACTGCCCAGGAATGTATGTCTATGGTCTGGTGAACACTGTGTTTGATTTCGCTGCCAGATATTGCTTGGAGGATGATAAGAAGAGTAAGTCTCCACTTCTATGTTAAAGTGCTTATGCAACGAAACTTCACATCACATTTTATGATTACATTGTAGAGAAAATTCAAAATTATCAGTCAGATACTTTGCCAAACTATCGTGGTGGGTGGGTGAGGCCAACGCCTTGATCGAAGGCCAACAAATGAGTGATCCTTTTGTTTTCACAGTGCTTTGAGACGATGAAACCGTGAAACAATATCTGCACGAGTCACTAATTTGACTAAAAGTCTGATTAATTTGTATGAGTCATCATTACCCGTGAGTATTATTTTAGAAAATAAACTTGAAATAAAAAATATTGTCGGTGAATTGTCCTGTCGTCAGCACAAAGGCCCTGGGGACGAGGTTGCTGTCGGCCTAATGTATTGTCGGCCAAATGTCCTGTCGGCTAAATGTTTGTCGGTGAAAGGCCCTGTCGGTCAAACGTCTGTCGGTTTAGTGTCTGTCGGCCAAATGTCTGTCGGCCAAACGTCCGGTTGCGGTAAATTATCCTCTATGATGGAAAACAGTTCAGAACTGATGGAGATGTCCATTGTAAACAATATTACTTATATTAGGTGTCTGCAAAGAGAGACTTGACTCTAATGTGTATAACCTTCATCTTTTTATAGAATAGAATAGAATAGAATAGAATAGAATAGAATAGAATAGAATAGAATAGAATAGAATAGAATAGAATTTTATTTGCACTCGAGAAAAAAAATTAAAAAAAATGACAAGATTATTACAATAAAGTGAGAACGGTGCTGGGAAATTGGAGTAACTAAAGTTTTCGAGCCAATTCCCCATAAGAACTATATACAACAATGAATTAAATATGGCAAATAATAATACAAAAGAAAAATAAATTTAGAAATATATATAGAAATATAATAAACACATATATACACACATACTGTACATTAACAATTTGTATCACACACAATAGGTTTGATTTGATTATAGTAAGTAAACATTTGATATTAGGAATAGGTATCAAGGCAATTCTTTTTAATTCTTTTTATTAGAGATTTCCTAGGTAGTAATTTGTCTTGATTATCAAGAGAACTCCAGATTTTTATTCCAGAGAATTTTAATGAGTATTTTCCTGAGTTACTAGAAACAGATGGCAAATGAAAGTTATGGGTTGAATATCGAGTATAATGTTGATGTATTTCTGAAGAGTGTGTAAAATAATTAGAAAATGCTACT